CAGGCCCCGATTAGCGAGCATATGTAGGACCGCGCAGACTGAACATTCTCTCGCTTCTTCTTCTTCTTCTCCCTGCTCTACCCCCTCCACATGGAGAGGGCCGGCCCCAAGCAGCATGGTCTCGCGCACTGAGCTGCCCTAGGACCCGATTAGCAGACGTAGGGAGGCCACGGAGACAGTCGGCAAGCCTTAAAGCCCCACTCGCACTCTTAGCTTTAAAAGCCTATTCCCTTGCAGCCTCCATACATCTCTCATCGCTTCAAGGCACAGCGGTGACAAACCGCCATCGCTGCTCTGCTGGCCGCGATAGCACAGGGATACCCGATGGGGCGGGAAGGCGGCCACAACTCAAGCTTCGACCACAGCTCTCAACACTTACCGAACACGTACATACTCAGCCAGCAGCCACGGGTGCCGCGTTGGCACTGCTTCCAAGCCTTCCCCTACTATGTGAAACAGCATGGCACTGACACTCTGCTACCACATGCTCTTCGGGCCAGCCACTCTTCGACGACCATACAAGCACACCCGTTACTCCCCAGCCCCGGAGGGGATTGCCATACATTTCTTTTTACGAGGCTCTTGACGTAGTCTTGACGGCCCAGCGGCCCACACTAGGTTTAGTGGCTCCCCAGCATGTGTCTGTCTCCTTCAGCCCCCTTTACTCAAGGTACAATGCGGGTACATGAGAAAGCTGCAGTCAGAGACTAGTTACCACAGCGGGGCGTGCCATGCACACATTCTGGCTGCAGTCCTGCTCCACTAGTCCAACGAAGCAACATCACTAGTTCTATACACAAAGGGGTATAAAGGATTCAGCAACCCCTTCAGCACTGCGTTCCTTGGGTCTGGCTTCGCAAACCTCCGAGCACCTGGAACTAAAGCTCTGAAATTTGGTCGGGCGCGTGGATGCGTGGTCTCAAGCAGACTACCCCGCAACCTCCCTACAAACGCCACGGCAGGCCAACCTACCAAACTAGTTATGCATTGCTGTCCGCGCGCCTATTGGAAACTGTTCCTTGGGCCTCGCTCTGCGAGTTTTCCGAGCTCATGGAACAAAAGCTCCGAATTTTGTCAGGCATGAAGGTCCAGGGCTCTCCGGCAAACCACTGAGCACCCCGGTTCTCAGCTGCTGTCGCTGTCCGTCTTCTCCCGGCGGCTTTGGTGAGCTCGCGCGGCCTCCGCCTCCTCAAACTCTCGCTGTGCCATCTCTGCGAGCGCTTCCTCCTCGAAGTCTGCGAGGAGCTCGTCCATTCGTGCCTCTTCCTCCTTCGCCTGTTCGTACTGTTCCAACCACTCTCGTTCCTGCGCGTCTGGCTCTCTCTCCTTGCGCCATCGGGGTTGACGATTTGCGGCCCTGGCTGCATCTTTCCCAGCGGCGACGCGGCCCATGCCCCGCCTTTGCAGTCGCTGGCGCCGGGTCTGGCGCCCAGTACGGCTGCGTGTCCGCCTCACGCAGGCCCGCCTTCTGCTGCTGGGTCCTCTCGCCTAATTCTTTCGTCTTGTTCCTCCTCCGCCGCTGTTCTCCTCCTGGCCCCTGTTTGCTGCCCCACTTGCTTGTTTGCCCGGCTGGCTGTGCTCGCCTTCGTGTCATTGTCGCCCCCTTCATGGGTTGCGCCTTGCTCCCTCTGCATCTGCGCTCTCGTCTTGCTGCGGCACCTTGCCTTGCCTTCGCCTCGGGGACGTCTGCGCCCCCACTTCCTTCGTGGTGGGCTGTGCCCTGCTCTGTCTCCTCTTTTTTTCCTCCGTCTGCGAGGGTATTGTTGCGAGCTCTCTCCTGAGCCTCCGGCCCAGCTTCGGTGGCTCTCCTTGGTCCTGCTCATCGCTGAGTTCGCCTTGGCAGTCTTCTGCTTCTTGTTCCTTGGCTCCGCCGCGCTGTCTCAGCGCAATGCGCAGTTTGAGGAGGCTGCCCGGCGAAGTCTGCGCATCCATTGCCCGGTATGTCTCGGCAATGGCATTGGCTACCTGCTGGAGCATCTTCTCTGGAACCGCTTCGAGGATGGCATCCAACATGGCTGCCCTTGTGCCAACTTCAAGCCCCTCCCAGTTCTGCTGAAGGCCGAGGAGTTGTTCACGAGCATTCTGGGTTTCTTGATTCTCAGTCGATCTCCATGGCTCTGCTGTGGGCGCTTCCTCGTTGGTGACCCTGGCCCAGGCCTTCCGCAAGGTCAATTGTTTCGGCGAGGCCGCCTTCGGCACCTTGGGTCGCCTCGCAGCCTTGAAGGATTGCAGCGCCTCTCTGTGCGCAGCTCGTCTCGTGGCCCCCCACAGCCACTTAAGCGCTTCCTGGACTATTCCCAGGTCGCTTTCATCTCGCCAACCCTGCAGCAGCACCTTCTCCACTTCTGTCTGCTCTGTGGCGGGAATGGCCTGTGCCAACGCCCTGGCGGTGCGCTGCACCTGTTCTGGTTCCTCATGGGGTTTTCCCGGGAGTGCCAGCAGTTCTGCAAGCACCCCTGGCACCAGGTGTTGCGGTGATGTCCAGAGCAGCCGTATCAGACTCGGCCGGAGAGTGCCCATGGCGACCTCTGCACTGTTATCGTCCTCATTGCTGTCGCTGCCACATCCATCTGGTGGTCGGGCACCCAGCTGCGCCAAGGCGAACAGGGTTGCTTCCGGATGCGGTTGGACCTCTAGCTGGGCTCGCAGAAAGCGTTCCAGCCGTTCTCTGGCCTCTCGGTGCAGCGGCTGCCACGACGGATCCGAAGCACATGGCCCAGCCCGGGCCTCCAGGCTCATCTGCATCATGGCCGCATGGTCTTCTTGTTGGTTTTCACTCTTCTCCTGGAGCAGGGCGACGTGGTCCGTCTCGTCAATGGGGACTTCAACCTCTTCATCTTCACTCTCCTGCGCCTCTCTATCCCCTTCTCTTCCCCTTTCCTGCGCATCAAGTATCTCTACTCTGTCCACGACCATCTCCTGGAGAGCCTGACTCACGAGCTGCATGGCTGCCTGCATCCCTAGAAGTGTTAGTGCAATTTCCCTGTGGTCGAACTGCGCTAGGGCCCCTTGCACTCTTTCCCTGAGTCTGGCCGCCATTTGGATGTGCACCGTCTCGGTATCAGTGCTGCTGGCTGCACGCTGTGCCAACTCACGCATTCTCTCGCTCTCTCTCTCTCTCTCTCTCTTGCTTTGGTTTGCTGTGCCGTCTCTTCACTTCCGTGATCGATTTGTGGCGGTTTGTGTGAGTCGGATGTTGTTGAGAAGGATGCGTAGCTCAACAAACACATGCAGCTGCCTATGGGCATGGTCCCCCTTCACAATTGGTTGCTACTGTAGGTATTCCTCTGCAATGTAGTGAGCAGACACTGAAACAAAGGGCTAGGAATGGTTACCACCAACCGGGACTCCACTCGACTGCCCTGTCTTTTTGCTCCAGGTTGGGGAAGATGGAACTCTCAATCTGAATCTTTCTTTCGCGCTTTCGCATAGAGGAAAGACGAGGGTCAGGTCATGAAACATCAGGGTGTTTTGCGAGTCAACAATCTTAACTAGGACGATGAAGAGCATAATCATGGACAAACAAGAAATGACAGAAATGAGAATTGAGCCAATGGTTCCCGTTGATCTCGCCTTCCCCAGTTCAAGAAAGGATGGTCAGACGTGGAACTACTTGTGAACACAAACGGCACACTGCAGTTCTTCCACGTTGAGGCCAATACATCGAATGAAGGTTTCTCTCAGTGGGTCTTGTCGCTGGTTCTCAGTCTTCACATCTGTCGATTTCACGCTTTCCTCTCATCTCGTTTGTCACCGCAGTTCCCCTAAGTCTCCGCCGCGTTACTTGTAACATCCGTCAAAACATGTTGAGTCTTTCTTTCTTCGAGGGCTATAGGCGAGCAGCATGGCTCACCCCGAGGCAACGCCCCAAGCCCGGCAAGGTCTGCGCGCTGTCCGACAGGTCTAACCCAAGAGGACCGAGATAATGCACGTTCACCGGTTCAAGCATCAGCCACAACAATTATCATTCCATACACCCTAGAATTCCCCCGCATGTACTTTTCTTTGTCTCCAACGGGCTGAAATTGCCAAGCCCCTCATGCCACATCTGTCAACTATGGAATCTCCAAACAGTCACGCGTAACAAGCACAGTGCCAAGTAACACATTAGGCACCTACAACATGTGAGTCTGTCTCTCTCTCGCTGGCATCGCCTTTACCTGCTGCGTTGGCCAGCAAGCAAAATGACATGTGATACTGATAATCTGCGGCCTCCTTCCCCCTTTGCAAGCTCAGGATGCACTATGAATTTTGTACGCACCTTATCAGGTTCGTGATAGCAACAAGCAAGCAAGCAGGCATGCGTGCAGCCGTTGCAACAACACATGCGCACGCTCATCACAAGCATAACATTTGCACTCTCCCGAGATAACTGGTGAACACAAGACTCCCTTTTGAAAGTGCCAGTCCTGCAAGAGCTCACTGTGTACCGGCATCTTTTGGCAAATTCAGGGGTCGGTGATTCCATGCGCCAACTTCAACCGCTGATGAACAACTAAGTCGTTGTCTGTTTCAGAAACTTATCTTCTTACCTTGTCACTGATTGCGCTTCACCTGCGCCTTCGTGAATGGTGGCGCATGTTGTACGTCGTCAGATGGACCCTGCTCTACATGAGCAATCTTCCACACCGCCCCGCAACTACTCTGAGAGGATACGAGAGTCAGATCGAATTCACGTTCTTGGTCGCAGTTTCAAGGCTTGAGCACTGAGCACACGTACGAGTGATCTGAGCCATTGGCACGACGTATCGCTGCATTGTTCATGTCAACCTGGTCGCATTTGGTCACCAGGCCCGAGCCCCATGTCACACCCATGGGTGTGACATACGAAGCAGCACTACCGGCCTTCGACAGGTCCTTTGTGTCAAGCATCCTGAGTTGCAAGTGCTTCGCTTTGTACGAGCATTGACATCACAAAATCCACGGCGGCAGACAAGCTCGACTCTTAGTTATTTCGCCAGCGCCGACTGCATAGCGGCACCCGGCAAGTACCACATGGCCTTTTGAGCTCCTCCCATGTCATTCCATGCGCTTCTGCAAACCTGGCAGCAAGAATGATAGAGAGTGGGTGGCAGACTGATGTTGCCAATTCCTGAGCATCTGCAACTCCTGCGCCCTGCAGCCGAGGGACATCTTCATCAGAGGCATGGCGTGCTTGCGAATGGGAATTCCGCGCAAACGCTCCTCAAAAACGAACATCCTTCCAAAGGATGTCTCAAAGAAATGGCGACTGAGTCGGGGGCCATCACCAGCACCTGGACAATGAATGCTCATGAATGTGCTTCGACCAGTTTTGTCGAAGGTAGACGCTGACGACAATGGAAGAATGGAAAGGTCTTGGGCTCGTGAATGTACACGCTCTTGCCCTAGTGCTCACACAGCACTGGTGGCAAAGCTGTCCAGTGTAATCTTCTGGGTTTTTGGGGCGAGCTCTCCCTCCACCCGTCTGCATACGGTGCAGTTGCCTACATCGTCTCATGCATCGCGTGACAGACAGACAGCCAGCCCTCGCCCACAGATGATGACACCACAGCGGGAACGCATCAACAAAGAAAGTTTATGGACTAGTGACTACTGCCTTTTTTGAGGGGAAGCTTGTCAAAGCTCACGCTTTGAAGCAGATGTTGTTCTTGGACCTTCCAGCCGACTCCAGTACGAAGGCACCTTTGGAGTGCAAAGGCCGCGTGAAGATGGGCAGGAAGGATGAGCCCGATCAATCCTTGGCTTGATTTGGGACTCCCGCACGTTCCGTGTACAGCGACTAGTGACTAGTGCGAATGGACGTCTCTATTCAAGCACAGGCTCGGCAGAGGAATCGCAATCTGGCTTCCAAACTCTGGCCTAACGCACGCCCTGTGTTTTTTCAGTGGAACAGCCCAAGCCTGGGCTTCCAGCAAGACATTGTCAGCGGTCTCACGCATGATCTGCGCCTGGGGCGGGGGGAAATTAAGCAAGAGAGTGCCGCTCGCTTGGCAGCCAGAAGCCTCAGCAGTGAAGTCAAACTCCTGCCTGAATTGCTCCTTTCCACCAGGCCAAACAAGCAACAATCTGAAAGTCCCGCTTTCCGCGGCGCCCAACAGCATGCAGTGACGGACACGGCAAACATCCCGTAACTTACTTCAACCCCTTCCACGGGTTCCTCAGAATTCCAAATTCTGAAATCAGCCCCAACACTACTGTTTGCGGGCCAAGACTAAAGTAAATTTCGGCTCGGATGCTCTGAATTAGTGGCAGTCCCTAGAATCACTCTCAAGGATTAGGGATCTCCTTGATCTCCTAGATATTTTGATTGTTATTGAATGGTATTTCTGTAGAGGAATTTATTGAACATCTGAATCCCAATTGAATTGGATTTATTGTGATGTTAAATGGTCTGCAAATGTTCGTAATTAGATTCGCAATGGACTGTTAATTCTGGTTTGATTTCACCTAATGTTTAATCAGCTTCGAATTTGATTCCGATTAGCTTTTTATTAGATTGCAAATAGATTGTCATTGGTTTGATGGTGTTTCTTGATTTGAATTCAAACTGGTTTTATTTAGATTTCATAGATTTCAATTGCTTTTAATTCGATTTTAATTGATCTATAACGATGTTAACTTGATTTATTCGGCTTTTGATTCGAATTAATCAACTTTTTTCGACTTCTACTGGATTTCCAACGGAGAAAAAGATTAGGTTTTAGGCATCCAACACTGAGATGGCCGTCCTACCTGCATGGTGGAAAAGATTTCTTGGACTTGGCTGCCCATTCCCAGCAACTGCATGGCCTGGGAAGCTGCATGCATCGTTAGTTGCATGAAGCTTACGTAAGGTTACAGAGAGATCTGAAGAGCATCTTTTGGCAATCCGGGATGCTGGCAAAGGACACAGTCGCAACCTCGGCCACAGGAGCGTAAGTCTGCTCTTCGGTCGCACATGTGCGCAATCCCAAGAGACAAAATGCGCAAGGCGTAGTGCATTGCATGTTCGACGCTTTCTCAACAAAATGCTCTTTGGAACCAAGCGGCATCCATGTAAAAGAATCGCTCAACGTCGGGGTACTGCACTTTGACAGCTACCTTCCAGATGAGGAAGAAACTGGCTTGTATGTAGCGTCATGTCGCAATAAACTATGTCTGCCTCTGTGCCATCTAAGAGCTTGGCGAAGTGCACCTGGCTAATGGAATCTTCTCTTCTGACTTTGAGCTTTGCATGGGGCGGAGACATGCCAACGGTTTCGTGGTGTTGTTCATGGCGGCGGGGCCTGCGCGATGGATGCAGCAGCCACGGCATGAGTCTCAAACTCCTGGAAGACATCGCCTGGCAAGAAATGCCCAAGCAGGTTTCACACAGCTGCAAAGCGGCAACATGCCCAACAGACCACCAGGCCTAGGCAGAATCCCAGCCTGGGACCGTACGAAGCTTCTGATGCTCAACAAAACTAAGCTGCCTGACCCAGCCCGGCGCTCGGCTTCAACGATGTCTTGCACAACTTCGAAAGACTCCTTCCACAATTCTTGGGGTTGCTCACCGTCACCAGTTCAGGCGTGCTGAGAGTTGATACAGTACGCCAGTACGCTACCTTCATGACGGCTTTACCTGGGCACTTGTTGCGCCCACCATGGCCGCTGGCCGGCTAACTTGTTTGTTCGTGCCTGCATCGGATGTTGCCCATGTATCCGCGGAACTAAAAACAGCATAGTAAATGAAAATATGCACGTCTGTCAAATTGCTGACGGAACCACGGGCACGGCTCAACTTCAGCTCCCCCACTTCAGAATGAGCTGTGGGATTTCAGGGTCTTTGGTGCGAGACATGTGCGGACAGGCTTGGTTCTTGCGCCTTTTTTCGATAGCCACGGCCACCTGCCTGACAGCTCCTTGAGCAGGTGCCCCCACCGCACGGCAACGTTTGTACAGTACTGCAGGCAGGCATGTGACCACCACTTCCTCGCCCAGCTACGTCAACATCTGCAGATTCCAATTCAGTTAGTGTAGGCCATGCCTTGAAAAGCCGAGCTTAGGGCGCATGTTGTGGGTTCCAAGTCATTTGACAGGCGTACAGTTTCAGGAAGTTTCAAGTTGAGGGGCGTGGGCACGCGCAGCCGGGGGCAATAGCGACACACTGGAGGGAGAACCAAAGCGATCCGCCACAGACAATTGTAGAAGCGACCCATCCCAGTCATGCTGCACAACAGCAACACGCTGGTTGTTGCGTCATCTGAATGGCAACTCTAGCTCCTCGGGGCACTCATCCAGAAGAACAGCGAAGACCTCGTCAAACCTTTGTGACAGCTCACAGCAGCGGACCATCCAGGCTGCATTTCGCCAAGCGACTCTGCAGGGAATTGGCCAGCGCCGCACAATGTCTGAGCAGCCTCTGCAACCACTCACAAGGAAGGCATAGCCTGCGAAGCCTGACAGCGTGCCTTGATGTAATATCCCTTCAGGCTTAGCACCTCTCGGCAGTTTAAGCAGAACCCTGCCGAATCAAGCACATGTCCAGCAATTGTGATGTATGCCAAGGCCGAGGCTAATTGAAGCAGTCTCTCCGCACATAGTTTGTTCAAGCCTTGCGGCGAACAACCGAGGCCGTCTGCTGCCCTTCACTGTATCCTCAATCAACCAGCATCTCTATAATTATAAAATGCGATACATATATATATATATATGA